TCTCTCTCTCTCTCTCTCTCTCTCTCTCTCTCTCTCTCTGCCTGTCTCTAAACTAAACTATCAAAACTATTTGATCATTTACAATTAACTCTCTCTGCCTCTGTGTGTGTGTGTGTGTCAAATAGAAAACAGAAAGTCAAAGCCTACTCCTAACTTGTAGAAAGAGAAGCAAAATAAGCACTGGCATAGAGTCAAGCTTAGAATTTAAAAGGCATCATATAGTAAGATACAAGAATTCCACACTAATGGACTGTTTAAAAAGGTGAATTCTTCAAAAGCTCGATAGAAGCTAAATGATGTTGTAAAACAATGTACTTCTAGTCAAATATACGTCTAAATGGGTATGGCAGTAGACCTGTTATACTTCTTCTGAGTTACCACGTATCTCCTGATTTTCTATTTTGTAATGCTACAGGTGTGCAAACCACTTATTTAGTCTTAAATGTCACACATCTTAATTTATATGTCATTTGGCAGGATTGGGAAAACAGCAGAACTTTTAACATATATCCGCACATTAAAAATGTATGGCTGGGAGCTTCTTTTCGCTAAATGGTTGATGAAGACAAGATCCTCCGAAGTCGCATATTTATCTGTGAGAAAATTGTATTTTTCTTATCGTTCTTGTTGCCAGTGAACTGAAAACCCGGATCTTAGGTACCATGGCATGAAACTAACAGATCTCTCGCCTTTTACTGGTAGACTAGGAAGTATTTGGATGCCTGGTGTGTTTTCTTTTGGGCAACAACACCCACTCTTTTCTCTCTGTTCACATTTGGACTCTATACAATGTTGGGTCATCAGCTTGATGCAGCAACGGTATATCAGTAGCTTTAGCCTTGTTTTTCTGAGGAAAAGTTATATTGCAAATATTCTTCTTTCACAAATTGTAGATCAACAATATTTTATTGTCTTCACTTCTATTCCAACATTGATATTCAGGTTTTCACTTGCCTTGCTCTATTCAACAATTTAATCTCCCCTCTAAACTCATTCCCGTGGGTCATTAATGGTTTGATTGATGTAAGTTTCCATTATCCTTAATTTTAAAATTTTGTGCTTTACAATGTGAAGATTTCTATATTAACTCTATAATTGCTTCCAGGCCGCTATATCAACTAGACGGTTGAGCAAGTACCTCTTCTGTTATGAAATTGAAACTGGACCCAGTCTCTCATTCCTGTCACTTTCAGATGAAAAGTTGGATTATGGAGATACTACTGTTGTTCTTCGTGACGCATCTTGTACATGGTCAAGCAGTAACGAGGAGGAGTTTGATCTTGTCTTGAAACACATAAATCTTTGCGTTCCAAAGGGCTTTCTGGTTGCTGTAATTGGAGAGGTGAATTTCTTTGGAGTTTTACTATTTTGTCGAGTTCTTACTTTTATATGCCTTATACATTTATACTTCATTGTTGGATTTGGAAAGTATCTTCGGTGGTGGTGTATGAACTTTCTTATGTACATTATCTCATATTTTTTCATTTCACGGATAATATAAGAGTATGCATCCTTTAAGTTGAACTTTGATATGATATTAATGCGGTAAACTAAATTTCGGAAACCGATGGATATTATTAAACTCACAAAATTTCCTACTTTTATGTGTATTGAACTTTACAATAAGATGGTTTCCCACTTTTCCTTTGATCTAAACTTATCCTTTTAACATCTAGCACCATAATAACCAGTATTGTACATTTCTTTGTATTACAGGTTGGATCGGGTAAATCGTCTCTCTTAAACTTGATTCTCCGGGAAATGAGACTCGTTAATGGATCAATTTACTCAAGTGGAACGACAGCATATGTTCCACAGGTTAATTAACTTTAATTAGTATCAGCTTCATGCATGCTTTTGAAACTACTTTTTACACTCTTCTTACTTCTGCTTTAGGTCCCTTGGCTTCTGTCGGGAACTATCCGTGAAAATATTTTGTTTGGCAAGGACTATGATCACAAAAGGTATTAGTTTATGAAACGTTGTTGAAGGCAAAGCTAGAGGCACTTATTGGGGGTTAATTTTGAGCAAGGAATATTTTCATACCCACCAATTTCCTGAGTGTCATGTGTTAAAATGTTCACAAAAAAATTAATATATATTGCTCATGAATTCCTCTTATATTCTCTTATCTGAGCAGATACTCAGAAATATTACAGGCATGCGCTCTGGATCTTGATATTTCCCTAATGATTGGAGGCGACATGGCTTATATTGGAGAGAAAGGAGTCAATTTATCTGGAGGACAGAGAGCTCGTCTTGCGCTTGCCAGGTAATATTTTATCTTGTTTTTATCTGGAAGCAGAATGCTTAAATTGCAGGGCACAGTATGATCTTATCTAAATTCCTTTTTTATGTCATGGGAATGAGTAGAGCTATCTACCAGGGCTCAAACATATACTTGCTTGATGATGTTCTAAGTGCCGTTGATGCACATGTTGCTTGCTCAATTCTACAAAATGCTATTCTGGGTACTCTTTTAAACCAGAAGACACGCATTCTCTGCACACATAACATTCAGGTTCAATATATTCTCCCTCTTCTTTTCATCGTTAAACTAACAATACCTACTGACAAATTCAGTACAATTTATATTTTGCAAATGAAGAAGCCATGTGAGACGTTTTAGCAACTGACATTAAATTTGCTTTAATGGATGACTCAATATTTTGCAATTGACAATGATTATTATGATACAGAGTATGGATCAGCACTTGTATAGAATTCATTTTAAAGAGTGTGTCCTTTTCTAGCAGGCAATATCTTTGGCTGATATGGTGGTTGTGATGGATAAAGGACATATGAAGTGCGTAGGAAGTCCATCTGACCCTTCTGTTGCTTCCTACATATCATTTTTATCAGTAAATGACTTTAACACATTTTCTGAGGAGGGCAAGAAAGAAAAAATATCAAATGTTATTGAAGAAACCCTAGAGAAAGACCTAGATGTTGATTGTATAAGCTCTTCCAGCCAAGCCCAAGACATCATTGAGGTTGAGACAAGAAAAGACGGTAGAGTCGAACCAACTGTGTACAAGTGAGAGTTTATTTGTTGATTCAATTTGAAGGCACAAGTCCACGAATTTTTTTCATTTGACCATTTGCTAATGTGTTATCTACAGAAATTATGCTGCATTTTCTGGTTGGTTCATTACAATTCTGACGTGTCTCTCGGCTATTCTAATGCAAGCAACTCGTAATGGAAATGATCTGTGGCTATCATTCTGGGTTGATACAACCGGAAGCAACCAAAATAAGTACTCAACTACCTTTTATCTGGTAAGTATCTGCTGCCTTGTATCTGGTAAGTAGTTATATCCTTGAAATGCAATGGGGCCTCACCGAAGTTTGTCTAACCAGAACTAAGATGAAATGAATTATATGTTCATGGAGAGCGCAATATTAGTAATTCTTGTTATATAGACAAGAAGTATGCTTCATGTTTTAAATTTTTCTTGTATTAGTCTCCTCACCCCATGATTCTTCTTGGTTTTTGTACTTAAAGCACATAATATGGTGGAACTGCTGCGTACTTTCTAATCTTTTCGGGTAACTTATTACCTGTGGTGCAGATCATACTCTGTGTCTTTTGTTTGGTGAATTCCTGCTTGACTTTGGTGAGGGCATTTGCATTTGCATTTGGTGGTCTACGGGCTGCTGTTCGGGTGCACGATAAATTAATACAGATTCTTATCAATGCACCAGTTAGTTTCTTTGATCAGACCCCAAGTGGGAGGATACTAAACAGGTAGCATGACATTCCTTCAAATGATTTAACAATTTCATTTCAATTTTCCACTTTAATACTAATTTCAATACTTCATTGTATAGATTGTCTTCAGATCTTTATACAATAGATGATTCTCTTCCTTTTATACTCAACATTCTCCTGGCAAATTTTGTTGGCCTCTTGGGAATTGCTGTAGTTTTGTCGTATGTGCAGGTATTGGAAATCATACAGCCTTTATGTTTTCCTCTTGTTCATTTCAGAATTTAATTCATTCTCTGTACTTATGTGGAGTTTGTCCCCTAAAACCATGCTTGTATGTGCAGGTTGTGTTTATGCTTCTTTTATTGCCTTTTTGGTATATATACAGAAAATTGCAGGTTTGTAATATATCTTTTCTATAAGTTTGCGGAGCCAAGATTTAACATTTAGCTCAACATAATCTCTCTCCTAGAGTTTTGATACAAAGTTCTTTTGAGACAGTTGAAGTGGTCAGGTAGGAATTGAGGGCGAAATTTTTGTTAGTCAACTATAAGTGTTGAGGCATATGGTACATGGAACTTAAAACACTCGGTCGAAATAAAACCAGATCATGCCTACAATTCTTTTCTTTTTTTCCTGGAAGATAGACGTATAGAGATATATCTCTAGTTGTTGCCGTAATAATTGTGCAGTATTATAATATTTTAAAATATCAAACTCCAGCATTACTAAACATAAGATTTTTTGTAGTTTTACTACAGATCAACATCTCGGGAATTGCGAAGACTGGACAGTGTTTCTCGTTCACCTCTTTATGCATCATTTACTGAGACATTAAATGGTTCGCCAACTATTAGAGCTTTCAAGTCTCTGGTAAAGTTGTTCTCTGTTACAGCATCAGCATGACGCTTTATTTAAAATTACTCCTGGTGGTGTGCTTTTAGTGCTACTTGAATTATGCATTTCTTTCGTCATATTTTGATCAGTTAAGAGAATATAACGTAAAAGATCTGGAATTCCTAGGTAAAAAGAGTTTTTATGGAGCATAATGAGTAGGAGATCCTTAGGGCCTGTCATAAATTGTTAAAATAAAATAATCAGATTGACTAGTTTGGCACTTCACCACTTAGAAGCTCGGTATCATCATTGTTGATCTGGACCTTGCAAGAATTTATCCACGAACTAAACCTTTCTCTGATGATTTTTTATTCATTTTAAATATGTTTCTTCAGTTAAAAAAACAAGCAATTATAATCATAAGGCTCTTGGTTCCTATAATAGGAGTTAAATTTCATTTAAGCTGGAAGTCAACAGGTTTCAGTTCTATTTTCTCATGAACATGCTTGCAACGTTTCAAAATGCCAATTAGTTGTGCTTGTGGGCAGGACCACTTTTTTTTCAGGTTCACTCAGCATATGCTATTATATCAGCGGACTTCTTACACAGAGATCTTTGCAAGTTTATGGCTTTCCCTTCGTCTTCAGGTGTGTCTCCTGATGTTAGCATTTTTGTCTATGCGTATGATGCAAAAAGTCTAGATTTTCAACTTTGTTGTTGAAGAACTTATCAATTCTTTATGCACTTAAAAACTCCAAAATCTTCAGTCAGTAGTTACATGTGAGCAGTAACAGGTAGACGTTTTTAGTTGTTGGCAGCATGTATTGTGTCATTTGTTGCTGTGATGGCTATTGTTGGCTCTCATGGACTTCTCCCTGTCAGTTTGGGCACTCCAGGGCTGGTAAATTACTAAGCTCCTTTTACTTTTGCTATTTCATCTTTTGTAAGTTGATGTATAAATTAGTGTCTTGAATCAATTTTAAAGTACTTTAATTATATTTATTTACCTAGTTGATAAGGGCATCTTGCCTTCATTTTGAACTTTGCACTGACATTCATGCAGCATAGTATTTGTCGAGACTAAACGAGATTAAATTTTTATTTTTTTAACATTAAAAATTTCAAAATTTCGTCTCATATTATATATCAAATATGCACGATCAATTTCAATTTCTTAATTACTATATATACACACATGAATGTCATTGGGATCACTAATATTTTTGGGTTCGAGGAATACTTTTTGAAGGTAGAGTAGTAAATATTTCTCTGCATTTAGGTACGAGGAAAATAATTTGAAGGTGGGAAGGAAGAAGACGAATATAATGTTTGTAGGCGACGGAAGGGGCAAAACGGTCATTACCGGTGGAAAAAGTATCCAAGATAAGACAACAACATTCCACACCGCATCATTTGGTAAAATTACTATTCTATCCCTTTCAAACTTTTTATTTATTTTCATCTCACTATTTCCATATTGTTATAGGTCTTTTTTTTCTTTTTCTTTCTTTCCTTCATTTGCAGGCCTTTTTTTTTTTTTTTTTTTTTTTTTTTTTTTTTTTTTTTTTTTAAATAAAAAGCCAGACACATGCGCAATTTTCATTAGATGTGAACTTTCTTGCTCCATGACCATGTTGAACTTGTGCACAATTATTAAGCTTCTAGATGAGTTGGTTTAACAATTACTTAGGAGTTCTAAGATGGATCTTTTTCCCCCTTAGGTTGGGCTAGCCCTTTCTTATGCTTCCCCGATTGTATCCTTGTTGGGTAGCTTCTTGACTAGCTTCACTGAAACTGAGAAGGAGATGGTTTCCGTCGAGAGGGTTCTTCAGGCAAGTTAGATTAATGTTAAGCTAATAGATATACTTCCACGTTGTTGTTGATGTTCCTGACCATCTCTTGCTGCACCTTCACTTCTCAGTACATGGACATTCCTCAAGAAGAACTGATGGGGGAAAATTCATTAGACCCAACTTGGCCATTGCATGGTGAGATCCAGTTTCAGAATGTGACTCTCAGATATATGCCATCTTTGCCCCCCGCACTACGTGATGTGTCTTTCACTGTTGCTGGAGGAACTCAGGTTTGTTAATTTTGACCCCCTGACCTGCTTATTCTTCATTTATCCTGGAAAATTTTGACATTATTGTGAAATCAAAGAGATAGACATAATTAAAGTTTATAATCATAGAATTTAAGTTCAGTTCTGTACAAATATATATGAACTATAAAGCTTCGTATAGAAAAATTATATTTACAACTTCCATGCCCAAAATTTAGTCTGTTGTCAAAATTTGTTGTAACTTGTAAGCAATCCATTGTTGCACATTTTTCTTATTGCAATATGTGAACTGAGCATGACGAGCATATGAAGTCTTGATACTTATCGATCATTACAGTCAAATGCTAATGCTTGCTCTTCAAATGAATGAACCAAATCTTATTCAATTTTATTGACCTTTTACATTTAATAATTATTCTGTAATCTAGAAAGTGGATCTTTTTTCTTTTCTTGTCAAGAGAGTTAAAACTTCTAGCTTCCTTTATTTTCAAGAATGGACGTGATAGATTCATTAGAGTATCAAGAAAGTATCACACCACGTGGTTGGAAAAGTCCGAACAGTTCCATACGGTGGGTTTTAAACTCAATTGAGAATTTGTATAGACTAGGTTTAAAAGTTGTCTGAAGCTGAATCAGGTTGGAATTGTGGGAAGAACTGGTGCTGGGAAATCAAGCATTCTGAATGCTGTATTCCGTCTCAATCCAATTTGTGGTGGACGTATTATAGTGGATGGTATAAACATTGCTGGAGTTCCTGTCAGAGATCTCCGTTCTCGTATTGCTGTTGTTCCCCAGAGTCCATTCTTGTTTGAAGGATCATTAAGGTAACCGGAAGAGTAAAGGAATCTTTTTGTTGCTGATACAACATGTTGCTGAGATTTAATAGATGACATTAAATATTTGGTTTCCACATTAATTTTCAGGGCAAATTTGGATCCATTCCAGGTAACTAGTGATGATAAGATTTGGAACACCCTGGAAAAATGCTGTGTTAGGGAAGAAGTAGAAGCAGCTGGAGGACTTGACATTCATGTACAAGAATCTGGAACCTCTTTTTCAGTTGGGCAAAGACAACTCCTCTGCCTTGCACGTGCTCTTCTTAAGTCTTCTAAGGTACAAGAATGGAGAGTGAGAGATTATGCTTAAAGAATGACGCATGCCTGCATAGGTAGGGGATATAAATGGGGTTGGCCTGGATGGTGAACCCGTGGCAGTCCTGAACTTAATGGATAGTTTATTTCCAAGAAACTTTTTGTTTTTTTCTTGAGCCCACAGAACAACCCAGGTGGCACCCCAGAGCCATGCCCTGCATTGGACCAGGTTTGGCCGGCCTGGCCTACGAGGGGGTGGGGGGCACTACTTTATTAACGAGAGGCTGACAATTATACAAATGTAAACTTTCAGGTGCTTTTTTTGGACGAGTGCACTGCCAATGTAGACTCTCAAACAGCTTCTAAACTGCAGAAAGTAATAGTTACAGAATGCCGAAGCACAACTGTTATCACAATTGCTCATCGCATTTCCACAGTTCTGATCATGGACAATATTCTTATTCTTGATCAAGGGATACTGGTAAGATTGTTCAGTTTCTTATATTTTACATCTCTGTTCTAGCAACATGCATTTTAGATCATTATCGGTCCTTGTGGGTGGAAGGAACAGGCTTTAGTTCACTAATCGTGCAAGAATATTTAAGAAAAAACTGCACAAGTGACCAGGCTAGTGTTTCAACTTCCAAACCTGAGTATCTCTACGACAAATTCTATAAAGCACCGTAGTTTTTTTTTTTTTAGATATTAATGTGCTTTGAAAGAGTTCTTTTTTCTAATTGAACACCCAAAGAAAAGTGGGAAAAAAATTGACCAATGGAAAAGTATTTTGGTGACCGATTATAGCATGATTGATATGGTGGATTGGACAATACTGAACTTTGTTTAATAAGAAAAAATGGTTTAAAAATGTTGTCTATTAGTAGGATCTAATGATGCACACCGAACATGCACTTGCTATATAAAAGTACCCTCATTATTTTATTGTGGTATGATTAATTAGTCAATCATGTAAGTACTGTACTTAATTTGAAGTTCTTTTCTGTATCTCCTTTGTAGGTTGAACAAGGAAATCCACATATACTCCTGCAGAATGAGTCCTCCAGATTCTTTAGTTTTGCCAGGGCTTCAACAATGTAATCTTCATGGATTAACGAGATTCTCACTACCCTTGTCTACTATCCCGCTAAACTGCATTCAAGAGTACGGGTTGTCGAGATGAAATGGAGTAGATTTTAGGCAGGAAAACATTAGCATGCCATATTTAGTGGTGGAGCCTCCAAATTTGTGGGGTCTAAGATTGCCATGAGTAAATCCTGTCTCCCCTTGTTGACCTATATGTCTTATTTGACGACGTTGAGGATTTCAAAACATGGGACTTGGGGGTATGCCAAATTTGATTTGTTTTTCCTTGCCCTTTGTGCTTGTACGTGTTTCTTGCCTAAATTCAATGTTTTTAACCTTCCAATTCTACTAGGATTAAAACATTCTTGTGTGCGCACATGCGTGGAATAGAATGTACCGCCCACAATATGATTTTTCTACGTACTAATTGGATGGAATAGCATAAAGTTTTGCTGTGAGATATCCAATATCCGATATTCGTCCCTCGATTGATCCAGGCCAGAGTATCGGCATTTAGTTGTTTCTAGTTAAAGAAGAACGATCAATCTTTATATTCCAAACTGTTTAGAAAATTCGCATAACATGGTTTACTTTTAGATCATTTGATGATGTGGATTGTAACAATACTAAACCATGAAGAAAACAAAAATGAACCTAAATTTTTTTCTATAAAATTATCTAATTTTATCCAGAGCTGAGTACCAAAATACTGTTCGAGTTTCAGCATAGTCATAATATACAACAAAATACTTCGAGATTCTACAATTTTTCTGCCTGGCTATTTTGTTGAAGAACCTGTCCTGAAATGGCAGCTGCAAGTGCTGATTTGAAATTGGGATCTTGTGTTAAGGTGGAAGCCATTTGTTCCACCAGATACTGTTGGAATTGTGTACCCATTATTCGGATTGAATCAGTAGCTGGCTTTGGTTTTGTAAGATCAGGTGTAATGGTCTGTGCAGACGAGTTTAGAGAGGTCGTTGAGCGAGGAACCGTGCTAGGTGTTACCACCCGGCTAGAGCTGGAAGCTTGCTCGGGTTTCAAGGGGTGGGGATGGTTGTGCTCTCCTTCATAAGTTGCTACAAGAATAGATTGATCCTTTATACTTCTTTGAACCTGCATAAAGACCATGTAACAAACAATTACAAATCAAAAAATCTTGAGAAAATTGGGGAAATTCAAGAACTGTTGAAAAGGATTAATCTGATTCGATCTACTTTTGAATTAAGTTAAAATCTGTTCGATTATAGTGTTCAATCCTATCTACCACGGTGTACCAACCATTCGTTAAATGCTTACCTTCTTTTTTACTGGACACGTTGGAGCAAAAGAGCACTTGAAATAAGCTCTTGGAGAAGGATTGTCCCTGGTAACCTTCTGTCCATACTTCCTCCACTGATATCCATCCTTAAGTATCTGTAATTTGTATTAAACAGTTTTCAGTACGGAAAATAAACAAGGATTTGTTTGAATATATCAACTACTTTAAAGTAACATAGCTAAAAAAGCATATAGAGCATGTTCAAAACACTGTACTGGACAGTTTCGTCCGCAATAACTGACAAGATTTTAATTTTTTTAATTCTTATTCTTATTTAATACTGTCCGGTCCAGCATAATAAACGGGAAAATGAGACGGTCCATTTCCACGATTTTGAGTAGTTTCTAAGAAGTGAGACTAATTTATAATTACTTACAAGGCTTGTATCAGATACTTCTGTTCGAACGCAGGATCGAGAAATCTTTGGTTCGATGTGTTGTTCCCTTGGTTTCTTGGATGAATCTTCATCACTTGAACTGCTCTCAGAAGGGCCATTGATTCCATCAGTATTGCCATTGTTGTTGCCACTTTCAGCTTTCCTTTTTCTTGACGCGTCATTGTTTACTATAGAATTCTTGCTCGTGTATATTACTCGGTTTCGTAATTCATTGTAATTCTCACATAAGACTGTTAATAGTTCTGTCAGTTTCTTGTTTTCAGCACTCACCCGGTTTAGTTCCTCAATCAATGCACCTTTCTGGGAAATAAAGAAGAAGAAGAAAAGTTAAGAACTCATTTTTATCATTCTTGATTTGTGGCACAGTTTCTCTCTCTGGTGCCTGTGTTTATAAGCTAAATAATGATAGAAAAAAGAAATACCCACTTCTTCTTTCGCTGTAATATTTCTTCCCAATTTGATAAAATCGTTTAGTTCCTCTTGTTTCTGTAACAAAAACAAGTTCTGTTAGCACAAGCAATGTGACGGGGATAGGTATGACTTAAGGTACTAAAGAACACGAACAGCTAATATAAATAATTCATTCGCTAACAATATATATATATAGTTTTAAAGCTTCACATACCGGCGGCAGTGGCTCTTCCTCGATAATTCGTAGTGGTTTGCCATTAAGATCCAATGAAATATTCGCCAGACTGATGAATTCCATAGCTTCTGATATAAGTTGAACTATTGCAAAATTTTCAAAGCTCCTCAATTTCTTCAGAAAATGCTCTCAAAGTGGTAAAGCACCTGTGATTATCTAACGTTTGAAGCAAAATCCAATGAAGAGAAGATGTTTATATAATACACGAGGTAGGTAGGGAGGACGATGAAGAGAAGATGATAAAATATTCTAATATTGTCATTTATTTATAGCCGAAATGGAACACAACGTTGATCGTTAACACGAAAAGTAAAAGGTACGTTAGTTAATTAAGTAAAGCTTTTCACTTCTAAGTTCCTTATTTTGTAAAACAAGATATTTAAAATTACTTTTTTATTAAACTTTTCGAAGAAGTAAGTTAAGACCAACTAACTTTCAATAGACATTAAATTTTAAGTACAAGTAAACATGATTTTAATAATGTGAATTTTTTTTGTAAGTTAAGACTAACTACGTTTAAACGTGTTTCGATTACTATAAGTTGCAATTGATGGGTAAAAATGTATCAAAATAAGCGTTTGGCAAGGGTTTGTTTTTGCTTTTGTTTATACTTCTTGTAAAAGAATTATTTAAGTCAACTTCCATTAAAACCTCTTTTTATTTTAGCAAAATAATTATTCAAACATGTTTAAAAATAATTTTAATATGAAAAATAACTTTTGACTTTTTAAAAAAAGTAATATTATTCAGAGTCTGTGACTGAATGATTAATCATTTCATGTGATAGCTTGTTATTGGAGTCATTAGTTTCTTTTAATTATACTGCCTTAAATAAAAAAATTAATGCCTCAAACAACCAGTTTTCACATGACTCACATAAAATAACTATTGTAGTTACTAATTATGAATATCATTACAAATTCAAAAATCTTACATATGGCCTTCAAGTAAATAAAAGTTTGATTTTAATTTTAAGTAAAAGTCAATAATTAATTTTAATTATACATATTCATAATTTTTAAATAATTTTTATTAAATTTTACTAAAAATATTATTTGAATCTCGGGGAACAGTGAAAAGAAGACTTTTAGAATGAAATTCGTTGGAGAAGTCAAGGTCAAGCCCACCTTTGGTAGGAAGACGACCACGCGTCCGTACCTTGAATTATGTAAATGTAGTTAAACTCCTACATTGACCAATCTTCTCATTCTTTATCCATATTATGTACAAATATACTATTGTCAGTCTGACTGGACTAGGACTCGTAATTAAAGTTAGTGCTGGACTTCGTAGAATCGAATCGAATCCAAATTTTAGAGTATTTAGTAAGTGAAATCATCGGGTTCAAATTTAATTGTGGAACTATTCAGGTTTGATTTCATTCGATTCGGTTCGACTCGATTCTTGCGTTCCATACAATAATTAATTTTTTAATATTTAAGACAACACTATAATAATTTAACAAATGATATGTTCAATCTTAACTTTTATAAAATAATGTAGTCCGATTTTATGTATCTCTTTATTGAGTTCTTCATAGATTTGATTGTTAAAATCACGGTCAGAGGGAGATAGGAAGCTCACAAAATGAAGAGAGGCATAGCCAGGCTTCCAATTCAATTTCTTCATAACTGTAAAAACGGCACTGTGGTAGAATGATACATTCGAATAAAACTTAAGTCAATTTGATTAAATTAGACTTCGACTGAAAATTAGAAATAGAAAAATTATATTTTCAATTTGACCTAAATTAATTAGTTAGCAAATTTATTTAAAAAAAATAAAATAGGTTGGCTTATTTAAGATAAAAAAAAATATATAGAGAGAGAGATTTGGTTCTCATTCAATTCTACGGTTCTTAGTTTAGAACCAAGAATCAAATTAAACACGTTGGTTCTCGATTCAGATACCCATTCTGATATTTAATTTAAAAAAAAACAACTATTTAGTTTGATTCAATTCGGGTTGGATCGGATCCAGTTCGAAAGTTTTGTCCAACCCTAATTACATTTTGACTATTAAAAAAATATTTGTATCTTCACTATTCGGTACGTCATGTGTTTAGAGAAACAAAGCCCAGAAGTGTCATCATCTCATACACATATTAACGAGCACAATTCACATTTCACTTATTCGCCAATTTAAAACGACAAAAAGGTTTATATTCGATAAAGTTTTGAATATATGAGGTAAATTTGACACGTGAAAATGAAAAATAAATATTTATACTTGTGACACATATTTCATAGACATATAATGTTAAACATAGCTTAATTAACATAATCATTTATTACAAATATACGAGAGCAAAAGCCTTAGGTAGACGATTATTGGCGATCTTCCCTATTGATAATAATTTATAAATTCAGTCAATATGAACGTATATTGAATTGTCCTATTCTATCTCAGCCAAGCTTGACAATAACTTATTTCATAGACTTCTATTGTTCATATGAAGTGGACTAAGAAACTTCAAAGTAAAACCCGTCAACAAATATGAACTCAATAAAAAGTAGAGTGACTAACGGTGCATTTCCTAACATGTACGGAGTTACTTAAAACTCGTCAACAAATATGAACTCAATAAAAAGTAGAGTGACTAACGGTGCATTTCCTAACATGTACGGAGTTACTTAAAACTCGTCAACAAATATGAACTCAATAAAAAGTAGAGTGACTAACGGTGCATTTCCTAACATGTACGGAGTTACTTAAAACTCGTCAACAAATATGAACTCAATAAAATTTTGAACAACAATGCTATGATGACCGATTTTTTTGACATAATAGCTGACCGACACTCAATATGAGAGGGGGGCCATTTCTTTTTGGACTTTTTTATTCACGTGGGCTCACGCGTTGTGAGAGGATGTCAACCATTATGTCAAATTTTTTTTGACAAAGTAGTTTAATTGAATTTTGAATAAGTAAAGTGACTAACGGTGCATTTCCCAACATTTACGGAGTTACTCTCCGTTCCCGTTGGATGTTCTACAAGCAGAATCTTTCCAGTTTGACATTTGAAACCTCAACTTTTCTACGTAGTTTAACACGAATACACTTCCTAGTTTCTTTTCTTCTCTACATTTATTAATGTTTACTTATATCTGTTGACAACTTGGATTGAATCCCCCTTTAACCATGAACACATGCAATGAACTCTGAAAACGTGTCAAAGTTGGTATCAAAGATTCAAGAGCATTCAACAATTCAAATCATTTTAATTTCAAAAACAAATTTTTTTGTAGTATATATCGTCATTCGTAGTTTGAATTATTTAATGTCAAACTTAAAATAAGAATTCATCTAGAAATAATTCATGTTGACGGTAAAAATTAAATCAACAAATCATGTTACCTAACTATGATTTTCTTCTTTTAAATTAATTGGTTTCGATAATCAAAATTGGAGAGAGAGAGAGAGAGAGAGAGAGAGAGAGAGAGAGAGCTATTTGAGACCGAAAAATTTGAATTGCATTCTTCACTCTTCAAAAAATAGGGGTATTTATAGATTCTCCTCTAAACTTTGGGACATATGTCAATCATTTAGGAAATACGACTGGTGGCAGATCCATACTGCTTATCTTGTGACTGATTCTATTATGAATATCAAGTTTTATTTTGGAATATTTAACTTCAAACTAAAATAATATTTCATCTAAAAATAATTCATTTAAAAGTTTAAGATCTTAAATGACAAAATATTTTATTTGTTATATCTTTTATAGTTAATTGATCAAGCTTTTGTTTGTGACCATTTTAATGAAATTTTGGGGAAAAATGTATTTTAAAATAGTAATTTTTTTAAAAATGTATGGTTGAAAAAAAAAATTGGAATTTTATATAATATAATTTTTATTGAAAAATGTGTGATTGATGGGAAGAAAGAAAAAAAATGAATTAAAAATTTAATGGAGCGACTAAGTATGAAAGACTTGATATACTTTTTGTCGCAATATCTTACAAATTGTGAGTATATTCCAATCGAATTCTATCAAAGAAAATGACAAGGAATAGGACCATATGAGCGCTGTGTAGGCAATGGTTTCGTGTAAGGATACTTTCAACTAGACAATCATGTGTAGTGCTGTATAAATTCATTGGTGATCGGCCTCTAAAATTCTAGGTTTGCTGGTTAATTGGTCGAGTTTGAACTTATTTTCTTTCAACTGTGTCACCTAGTACGTTAAATTAAATAACTACTCTCTATTTAATACATTCTTATACGCTAAAAAATTGATAAAGAAGAAAATTAACAATAAATCAAATCACAACTTTCAAAATTTTCGTAGAAAATTTTATTACGCAGAGTCCTAATTATTTATCCTCAATAATGTTTACTTCAATTGTCAATCATCAAAAATTATAGCCATGAAATCACATATATTAAAAAGGTTGAACTCCAATCTTAAGGGCCCCCACGACCTCGTTCCTGAAGTAACGTGAGGGAGGTAAATAACGGAATGTGTCCCAGCAGATTAGAGAACAAGAGATTGCCCGTACACTAGTGCCCACAAAGAATCCAATTACATATCTTTGGAATCGAACCCTCACACTGCAACTGCCAACAAAGTTGAGATTGCATCACTCCTGTCCTTTGCACCACTGAATTATGCCCGGGCGCACGAAATCACATATATTAATTACATCTAGAGTTGACCAATAGAACGAAAATAATGGAATCATTTGCACACCTGCAAAATCATTAATATTAAATTAAGAAAAATATTGAACCGTCTTATTAACAGAAGTGAACGGGTTGGTACGTCATAATCGTGACGTCATGGCCCACTCTTACCTATTCCAATAATCAAACATCACAAAAAGACATAATTTAAAAATAATAATCTATAATAAAATAGAGTTTTCTCTTTTTTGTGCTAATTACCTTTTGATTTAACGGAGCATTTTAATGAAGAGTTGACAGAAAGACGTTTTGCGCAAAAAAAGGTAAAGGTGAGGATGTAATCCGTCAAAAAATGAAAGGTATGGAAGTTTTTCACAAAAACATTGAAAGGTATTATTGTGCAAAACGTCCCTACCTTTTATTTTTTAGCATAATTAGCAGAAAATGTCCCTACCTTTCAATATTATTGTGCAAAACGTCCCTACCTTTCATTTTTAGCATTTTTACCCCTACATTTCACATTTCATTGCGCAAAAGGTCCTTTTCATCCATTTTTTCAATAAAATGACGATTTTACCATACCTTTCATTTTTAGCATTTTTACC